TTTTTTTTTTTGGGGGGGGGGGGGGGTGGGGGACGTGCCCCCCCCCCCCCTGTTTTTTGCAAAAAAAAAGAAAAAAAGAAAAGAAAAAATTACACCCACATTGTTTAAGTCTTCTTTTCCTACCAAAAACACACAAGAGTGCTATTCATAAATCCACTTGGTGAGAAATAGAACACTTGTAATGCAGCTGTCAATTGTAAGACGCACTATGGGACCCCCGGGAATGATGCGTCATTTACCAAACATTCCTGACGCATGGTACCATCATGGAAGCCTTTGGTCCGTCACAACATTGACGAATGGGTGCGTCAATGTCAGTCATTTTACCTGGGTTCGGCAAATGCTACAACTGGCTGTCCGCGCCCCGACTGTGAATATATTTTCCGTGATACACTAGACTAGAGCAAAAATAATAAATAGGCCTAGCAGAAGATAGAGCAGCTTCCCAATATAGTCGAACATCCATTCGAAAGTCATTGTGGGTACACGGAGAGCAATTTTACCCCGTCCGCATGACGATGCTATAGTAATAATAAAGGCGCCGCTCTGGTTCGCTTTTTTTCTGTAGTTTCTCCAATTAATATGTTCAAATTTAATCCCATTCGCCCTGCCGCGTCAATTTTAATACAAATACGCGGAGCAGCTCATTCCAACGTGACCACTGCTTGGGTATTTACCCAAGATCTTGGGTATTTTGACTTGGTCTTGGGTTCTTGGGTATTCTGTTCAAATGCTTGGGTATTTTACTTTACTAAGAAAATTAAATATTTTTGTCATAGAGGAAGAATTAAGAAGTAACAAAGTATATTTCAGTCCATTCAAGTAATCAAAACTCAACGAAGTGCACATTTCATTTGAAGCCCACTATCTCTACCCAGCCAAGTCTAGCATAGCCATAAGAATACAGATCATTTCGGTCGCGCCTTCGTTTCGGTCGCTGCGTATTGTTATGCATTTCGGTCGTGATAAACAGCCTCAGTATGGAACTCTGATGTACGCACTAGTGCTTTATGTTTGGATAGTAATTTTTAAAGCGTTCTGTATTTTTGAAGTTTTTTTTTTTTTTTTTTTTTTCTTTTTGGTGCTTGTGTTTCAAACTGGGTATTAATTTTATTTATTTTGTCTTTTTTTTACGATGCTTTGACAATCATAGGCCTAATATTCTTTGTATTTTTTTTTTGTATGATTGTTGTTTTAAGTTTTTTACGATTGTTATTAATTACAAGTAATTTGAATATAATTTTAGCGTGTTCTGTTCTTAGAATCAGAAGTGGAAAGTCAAGTACATATTTGTATTTATCAATTTATGAATTATTCATAATAAAGGCCTGGGAATGTTGTTATGATTGTGATTTAATTTGTTTAATCAAATATACTTTTATATCAGAATATTAAAATATATGTATTTGTACATTCCATTTAAACTATAGTATTTTACAATTCATGTATTTTTTTAAAAATAAATATGATCATCAGATTGATGACTCGAAGTTAATGGAAACATTAAGTATGTGAACGCACTTGAACACCTTCACTGCCACGACCTAGTCATCTATATTTAGCATCTGACCTACTTCTGTCTTTGTATTGTGATGCGTTCACATTCCTAAAGGCAGCGTACAAAGAATATGCCTTCTCACCCACATGAGCACCGTGGGAACCTTGGTTGTGGGAAAGTTTATTTCCGATTTTGTGGTTACAGTAGTTACCAGGCAACTAGTACAGGAGGCCTCGAAGTAGTGAATTTTTCTAGCTTTAGAAGGAAGCCCCCCCCCCCCGACGACTGAAACCTTGGAATGGCTATTAACATGTATTTAAAATTATATTAAAACCGCATTTTACTATGTATTTTATAAACATCAGAATATGTATAAAAGTGGAAATAAAACAAACAAGAAAAAACAAACATTGTGCTGCTTCACCTCAAGAGTACCATGGGAATCTAGTTTGTGGGAAATTAAATTCTAGCACAACTATAGAATAGGAGTAGAAAGAGTCATTTTGTCGGGCTTATGAATATAAAAGAAGTTTGGAATGGAAGTGTTTAATTATTATTATAAATTTATTGAAAATTTTATGTGGAAAATAAATATGAAAATACTATATATTTCCTTCATTTTCATTCATCATATATATCATTCAGTATGTTCATTTATCAAATTATAAACATGATCAGAACATTCAAGATAAATGGGAACGTAACAGACTAGAAAACAAATATATGAAAAACTAATTGATTGACTATATTTATTTCATAAATCTCCATTCAATTTATGCATTAATAAAATACATAATAGCAGCAAACGTTAAAGAGAAACTTGTCTCAAACCAAGTTGACTTTGTAACATTTTTGTTGTTTCTGTAAAAATAGAAAAATAACACAAAGTGATACATGTAATATTAGGCCTAATAATCATAAACTATAATACTATAGTACACAATGGTGGCGGAACATTTTTGAAAGTGGGGGCGGGGGCGGCCATTTCATAAGGTCGAGTATGCGAGCGAAGCAAACATCTAGGCTGGGGGCCAGGGGCCCCCGGTGGGGTTCCAGGGGGTGAAGTTTAGTGAATTTTATAAGTTATTTTATTGGCATCACGCTACTGTAATATGATTTCATATTTGTTGTAATTTCCAGTGGCGGATCCAGGAATTCGATCGAAATAGAAGGTCCGAGGGGGGGGGGGATACTTTCACAGATAGAAGATCTACACTGGTAAGAAAATTTGTGATTATGTCACCTCTAGATGCCCGGAAATTGCACTTCCAGACATGAAATTTGAATATAATTATCTTTATATCTCCATTTTTTTATTGAACAATTTAGGGGGTGGGGTCCCCTTGAATCCGCCACTGGGTACTTCAGCAGATGAGAATGTATACCACCTCAGCCCCACCATGGTTGGGGCTGAGGTAAGAAAATTTGTGATTATGGCACCTCTAGATGGCAGGAAATTACACTCTTAGACTTAAAATTTGAATGTATTTTCCTTATATCTCCATTTAAAAAAAAAAAATTGAATTTAGCCTCCCCTTAAACACGCCACAGATTTCCGAACAAAGTCGAAGTCGAGATTGCTTCCACAACCTTAATGAATTATTTATTATGAGGGTTATCCTTGATATGGGTTCCCCAACGAAAACTTGTAAGTCGAGATAGAGGGGTTTCAGGATGAGTCTTGCATAAATAGAATGTCCACCCGCCTCAGCCCCACAATTGTTGGGGTGAGGTAAGAAAAATTATGATTATGGCACCTCTAGATGGCTGGAAATGGCACTCTCAGATTAAAAGTTGAATACAATTTTGTCTGTTTTCTCCATTTTTTAAAATAATTTTAAAAAATAATAGGATGGGGTCCCGTGCTGACTTCGTTTCGCCTTGAATCGCCCGCATGTTCAATATAACACTTGTCATCATGGCCTATCATTTTGTTTCACAAATGATTAATTCCTAATTGTCAAGCAAAAGATTTTTTTATTCAGACAACTTTATTTAAAAAAATGTCCTAATTAAACTATCTTATTGTTTTCATTAAATTAGAGTTTAAATGTGGTTATATTACTCTATTTTGAAGGTTTACTGTAAGCCAATCAGTTACACTTACTATACATCTTCATGGTTAGCAAAAAGAGAACTAGAACGTTGCTCCATTAAGAGTGCCTACCTCCCCCCATATGCCTAAATACAGAATTCAGGCGATTTTTTCTTCATGCTCGAGGGTGGGTTTCAAGGAAACTTTACAGTTCTAAATCTATATTTTATAATAATAATAATAGGTAAATTTATACTAGGCGCAAATAAACAAGGTGTAAGCACGAAATAATAATTGTTGCGAAGCAGCCAATTCCTATTCTTGACAGCAATTTGACCTCTGAAAGGTCATTGTTTGTCAAAAAACGAGTGCCTAAGACGACTGAAAAGCGGAGTTTCCTTCTTTCGCTCTGCCGGGTAAAATCAATTACTTTAGGCAACGTTTGTAGACTAACCTACTCGTACCAACGTCCGCATGTCGCGCTAGCCTTATCCTACTCTAGGCCTAGACTAGCTAGGATGGTATAGGATGGTATAGGCCTAGCCTTTTGAAGACGAAGGTCCCAATGAAAAACAACGTCGCTCTTTGATAGCTAACATTGTCTATTTAACATCACAATAATTCATTATTAGACCTATAGTTGTTTTTTGAATTGTACTCCACATCTCAGCCGATACCTCGCACAACTGGCTAACGTCTCGTATCTATTGTCGTGACGTCATGGCTCGCTGGCTCACACTTGTGATATGTCTCGCATTTGTAATCAAATAACACGCTGGCTCGCACTTTGGCAA